AAATGAACGAACAAAATCAATCTACGTGGGGTAAACTGAAGAATGTAGGCCTGCAATTCTTTGCATCTTTGTTAAAGCAATATTTCTTTCTTTATTCAGAGCCTGCTTGGCATTTCTATCTCTCAGTCCAGAAGTCACTTATATTACCATGTGTACACTGGTAGAAACTGTGTTCCATTGAACATGTGCTTTCCCTTGCACAATAAGATTATCTCCTTGAACAAGCAAGCAAAAGATTGTCCTGTATGAAGAAGGCTTAACAAAGGTCAGTTCTTGCACCGAGGGGGCAGTTAGCTGCTTTTAGCTCATAGTTCCACTGCTATGTCCACTTGTAGATAAAATGCAGGATATCTGTGCTCTTCAGCAAACATGTGGTGAGTGGAGAGAGGAAAGACACCTTAATCAGAATGGAAAAAACTCTGCAACTTAGAATCTGTACAAAATTGGCTTAGTGAAAGCTGACAGAGGTGCTGGCTAAATTCTAATCTCTATGCAGTGTACAGGAACCAGACATAATTAACTTTCATGTGGTCTTAATATCTGTATTTATATCACTAGATACCTCTTTTCTACCAAAAATGGCACTCAGGTGACTTACAGAACAGTCACAGATGCAATATAAGAGTACAAGTACAAGAAAAAATATTATTCAGAAGGGTATGAAACCCAACAGACTCACTGTGAGCCTAATGACCTTCTTCTGTGAAGTAGGTTTGCTTGCTGGCAGAAGGGCCAGTGGCAAAGAGGAACAAAGCTAGTCTGCCTCGGAAGAGGGTGCCACAGCCTGGGGGCAGCCAGTGAGAAGACTCTGTGTTGGGCTGCCACCAAACGTTCCTTTAATGGCAGCAGTACTGAAAGAAGAGTCTCTGCAAGGATCTTGAGAAGCAGGCTCTAATCTTGTGAACATCTCTTTGCAAAAGCAGTAGTGTCTGTTTACTTCTTGCTGACAACCTGGAGGGGCAGTATAAGCCTAAGGATAACTAAAGTATGGCACGAGCTGAAGGACAGAAAAAGGCAGAAATAAAGTGGCATTGGATCAGTAGCATGAAGGAGGCCAGAGTAAGAGAATGCAAGTTGAAACACAAGAGGGAAGAAAGTTGTCCTCAGATGGCTTATCCCAGGTGGTTAGCAGCCACCAGTCACATGTGTGATGTTAACTGGAAGATGGAGAGTAGGGATGGGAATGCTGATCTATTCTAGCAATGTCCCTGTGACTCTGAAAGGAGACTTGCTTTAGGCTCAAAGAACTAGGGAGCCAGTCTAAGCCACAATGAGCACACAGTACCCAGAAGTCATGCCTAAGCCCCAGGTAAACTGATAGAACTTAAACTAACGATAACTAGTTTGCTTGCTTTCTATCAGATAACTATGACACTACCTTTTCTCTGGAATGGGGCCCAGGATGGGTCTGTGGCAGAAGTGCAGGAACAGCCTTAGCGATATTTATGTGCCAGCTCTCCACACCTGTGCTAGAACGAGGGAAGAGATAAATACCCCACTGTCAGGAGTGTACTCTTGGAACATATCCAATGTAATGATGCACAGGTAGCTGGAATGTTGGGCCAATTCAAACACTTCACAATTCACATAGTCAGGCAGAAGACCTTTTGCTTCCACAATGATGAATATGTGGCTTTATAAGTAAGAAAAGAAAAGAGAAAAGAAGGGGGTATTTTAATATCCGTATTTAGGCAATTTATTTCCATTTTTTAAAAAGTTTTCATAGAATATTTTTCCAAACTAACTATCAAATCAAGGTTACATTGATTTCATGAGAAATATACTCTCTCTTGCTGAAAGTCATAGGACTCAACATTGGTTGGATCGTGCTCCAAAGAAATTATATATATAATTATGTATGGATCATCTTCCTTGCCTTTCCACTCCCTTTCCATATGGAAACTTGTCTGAGCTAGTCCACTTGCTGGAAGGAACAAATAAAGTGACTTCACTGCTTCATGGATAAACAGTATAATCATTGCTTAAACTATGTCAGATTGTGTATGTGGTATATTTTTGGACTGAACACTTTATCACACACCAACAACCTCTGTAACCTACTTTAAGGTACAGGAAAAGCTCTTATTCTGACACAGATTTTAAAAATGAGTATCTACAGAGGTAGTTAATTTTTTCTGTAAAGACCACACTGTTACAGCCACACCTCAAACATCAGAGATATTTAATTTGTTCACTCCCTGCAGCATAGACCATGTTGTAGCAGCACCACCATTAATATTGGCTTCTTTTTTGCTTCATGCTACAGGGCAGAATTTTAAACTCCACAAACACATTCTCAAAAACAGCAGCAATTAATGAACCTAACCATTTTTTCCCATGCCTTGAGTGAAACTAGGATTTTTCACTCTGTTCATTTTTAAGTTCATTTTTAAACTTTGGAGATATAAGAATTTTCCAAAATCTTTAACACATGAAAATAATGGGGAAAATTAAGCCATGAAAAGAAAAGAAAAGAAAAGAAAAGAAAAGAAAAGAAAGGAAAGGAAAGGAAAGGAAAGGAAAGGAAAGGAAAGGAAAGGAAAGGAAAGGAAAGGAAAGGAAAGGAAAAAAGAAAAGAAAAAGTTTGCTGCACAGACATGTAACCTTAATGCTAAGATGCTAAGAGCAATGCATGATTCTAAAAACGTGGTTTCTGAGATGAACATTTGGTCATTCTGGAATCTTCACCTTATGAACCAAAGCAGACTTGAAGTCCCCTTAAAACAGGAGGCACAGATGCAAACTGGCTTTATTTGAAGGAGAGTTTGGGAAAAAATAGAAATTCTAGTTTGTATTTTTCTTCTTAGAAACTGAGCAGTTAATTATGTTTATATATGCTTCTATGGCCACTATAGGCCTCCATGGATAAAATGCAACCAGCTCTGTCATTACAGAGGTTAGGCTTGATGCTTTTTCACTGGCTGTACTTACCTGCCTTTTGCAGCATCTCGATGCAGGGACTGAGCAGGTGAGCCTGTTCTAGCATGGAGATAAGTGATGGAAATATGTTACACCAGATTACAGTAAAAAAAGGGGCAGTAAAAACACACAGTCAATAATACTACCATGTACCATGAGTGCAGGTTAGAGAGCAACAGGGGATGTACAATAAGATTATTACTATGGGCATTATGTTCACATGACTCCAGTCCTCCGTCAGCTTCACTGGCTTCCCATTGAAGTTCGGGCCCAATTCAAGGTGTTGGTGATGACCTATAAAGCCCTAAACGGCTTGGGTCCTGGTTACCTGAAGGAGCGCTTACATCCATATACGCCCGCCCGCCCCTTGAGGTCTGCGGGAGAGGCCCTTCTCCGGGAACCCTCCGTGAAAGAAATTAGGAGGGAAGGTACTCGGAGGAGGGCTTTCTCTGCGGTGGCGTCCAATCTATGGAATGCGCTCCCCAGAGAGGTCCACCTGGCGCTGTCGTTATTTGTTTTTCGGCGCCAGGCGAAGACCTTTTTATTTAAACGTCATTTTAATTGTTAATATTATTTGCTTATTTTATCTGGCCAGGGTGACTTATTTTATATTGTTAATTTGTTGTATATTTGAATGTTTTATATTTTAATATTATGTTGTGAGCCGCCCCGAGGCTTCAGCGAATGGGGCGGCATAGAAATGTTTTAAATAAAAATAAATAAATAAATGTCTTACTCTCTTCAGTGCTAGGGAATTCATGTTTGGGCAACATGTCAAGATTTATGACAGTGAGGAAAGTGCTATTGCTAAAAAGCTGCTAACTACTCAGCCATGTTTTAAGTTGCTTCTACACTCTTGATTTAGTATGGGATTGCTAACATGTTCCTCTGTATTGTTTACTGTGTTATCTTCTGCCCTTTTTTCTACCCTGTGGTTTTTCCCCACTTCAAATACAATAACAATGCCAGTGTGGACAGCATTATTGAGACTTTTCCAGGGCTACTATGCCTTTAATTAGACATTTCCTTTTCTAATAACTGCCTCTAACTGCTTTCTGTCCACCACAGACTGGAATTAATTTGCTGACTTATACTCTAATGAGTTCCTCACAGAGCTGATTTTACTAACTAGTAATTAATGGGGACTGTCTTTAATTACTATTTTCCTCTCATTTTTATTGCATAAATTTTGCAATAATTTTCATTAAAAATGAAAATATCTTGACAAGAAATCAGTAAAGAACTTCCCATTGTGGGAACTGACTAATTAGGAAACATCAGTAAGATCCAGGTTCCATTGACTAAGAAGAAATTAGCAGTAGAACTCAAGAGAAGGAAGCTTCTAATCAAAGTTGCGAGGGATCATGGCTGATTTGTGTTTAAGATTGAGCAAATTATACAAGAATATATAATTGCTAGCATTACTGAATAATTTATCTATCTTTTCAAAATATTTTAAAGTTACTTTTCAGTAAAGCTGTAAGAAAGGAATAAAATCAGAATGGTAAAAGACTGTAATATAAAATACAAAAAATCACAGACAAATAGAGCAGAACAACAGCCTACAAACTTCAAAACTTCAACATAAAATTTTAGCAAAACAGTCAGAGCAGATTATGAAATGCTGTGTTTTAATTCCATTTGCAGTTAACTATAGAAAACCAGTGTCCAGTGCCATGGAGCTGGTGTTGCTAATAGCTCTTCCTTTAATGCCATATGGTGAAAGGAGGTTTAAATACATGGATCCACCAGCCTGAACAGACTGGCAAAACCATGCAAAGCTTTTGCCCTCCCAGCAACAGACAGAAGGGCTGGAATGATGCAATAAGTCCAACTCATCACTCCTACCCTTTGTAATCTTACATTCTATCTGGGAGTAAGTCCCACTGGACTCAATAGGACTAATTCTTAGTAGTCTTGCATAGGAGTGCATTGTGAAGCTGTTGTACACTTACAAGGGAGTAAGCCCCATGGGACAGAGTGGGACTTACTACAGAATAGCTATGCACAGGACTGCAAATGTGGCATTCTTTTTGCAATAACCAGTGGTCTTTCCATTTCAGATAAACTATCAGGATAATATGGTGTGCCGGGGAGAATGCAAATGGACTCATATGTTCCCTTTTCTCATGGTAGGTATTTCAAGTGCCTAAGTTGCAGATGAAGAGGCCTATAGTTACTAATCGAGGAAAATTAGCAATATTAACCTGGGCTAAAATTATCTCCATAGTTCTTTCAGGGTTGGACTTTACTGACAGAAGATCCATGTGCCACAAAAAGTGGTGCCATTCATTAACTTTTATGGCTTTGAGGGGCATTAGAAAAATTAATAATTTTTTTCAGTCTATCAAGTCTAGAAGAATCAGTCTATCAGTGGCTCCTAGCCAGGGTCGCATGCATCTGAGCAGCACTCACTCAAGCCCACATAACTTTTTCTAGCCCACTGATGTCATTGGAAGTTACTGTCAGGAAAGCATTTGGAAACATGAATTTAAAAATCCAACTTTCATTCACATTGTTGAATCTCAAAAATGCTAGTTGATCTCACTGACAACAACAATAGAATTTTCCTATTTTCTCAAGATCCACAGTGTCAAGTGTCATCCTGTTCCTATTGTTGGTTACTGAGGTCTTTCCATTCTCTCTTCTGCTACAGAAATGCATGAGTAGAGCTTCTTAAAGAAGTCTCACTCTGTTCCCTGTGAGGAACCAGAGGTCTTCTTTCTGGTTTTTAAAAATGAATGTTCAGTGGAAGATATGAGACTGAAAAATATCTTACTCCTTTTGATATTGAAAATAATAGCTATAGAAGGCCTTACTTTTAGGAAGCAATGCTAAGAATATGATTATGATTACTATCATCTATTTATTATTATTCAATTTATATGATGTCACATTAGCCATAGGTTCTCTGGGTGGCAAACAATGCATTATCATCATTATTATTTAAAATGATCTTTCCCCATCTGGTGCCTTCCCAATGCTTTGAACTAGAACTTCCATTGACTTCACCCAGCATGGACAAAGATCAGGGAAGATACATTATAATAAGAAAAGAAAAGAAAAGAAAAGAAATTGAGAGTTGTAGGTGAAAACATCTGGAAGGCATCAACTCAGAAAGGCTGGTTTAAAGCATATTTCATCAGCTAAAAAGGTTCCCAGATTGACTTATAGATCAATAGAAACAAGCGTGACCTTGCCCTCCAGTTTCCTCAGGAACAGTAATGTGCAAAATGCTGACAGGCCATGGGGGTAAAGCAGCAGATTTTGCCCTCTCATGTATGTGTGGCTCTCCTAAGCAAAGTGTGGGGAATTCAGGACCGACCACTGTCAGTATAAAAAAGGCCCTGATCTAGAGTATCCTTGTCTGACCACATAAAAGCATCCTTATTCTTTTATGTCTAGCAAATGATTTAACATTGTGGAATTCATTTACTCAGAGAAGCTACCTATGTTCCATAACAGAAATACATTTTGGTACTTTTTTCAGGTAGCCTGCCTGAAAAAGCATAAACACTTTTATGGCACATTTGGAGAGCACTAAAATGGTGGGTTTCTTAGCCAAGCATTGCAGACACAGTTCAGTTAGACAAGTCATTTAAATATGTAAGTGATTTTACTATTTCAGAGTCATGGAATCTTAGTTTGCAGTTAAACTCTCAGATAAAATAGGAGCAGTTTGGATTTGCTAGGTATATAAATGGCAACTTTTATGATTTACATGCTTAGCTTTATGTTTCTACATAGACTGTCGAGAGAGGGAGGGAGGGAGAGAGGGATTGATTCTGCCTAAAAAAACAACAACAAAACCTGCTTAATTACTTTTCCTGTAAATGCTGCAAATTCATATTTTGCACATTTATTCCACAGCTTTTACCACTCTGTGAAATGTATTCTGCTTTTATTTATCAAAGGAGAAGGCACAGAATACAACCCCTGAAAATCTCATATTGCCACACATTTCAGAAGGGCTCATACAAGCATTTCCATGCATATCTTTAGCTATAAAGGGACTTTTAAAAAAACGAATGTCCAGGGTTTCTAGAAGCTAGTTCCTCTGCTCAGTAGCACATTTTGTACTTTTCCTGCCCTATTGCCAAATTAGGATAAGGGCACACCTTGTGCATTTTCTTTTCTAGTCCAAGATATCAGAATCATAATGTTGGAAGGGACCTTGAACATCATCATGTCCAACGCTCCTGCCCATGCAAAAGTCCATGAACCTTTCAGCCTCCCACAGTGTTGTTTTAAGCAGTTGTGACCCAGTAATGAATTAACTGGTCATTACCTTTTGCTGACAGGTGTCACTTGTATATTCTGCTAATGCTGAATATTCTAACTGTGGTGAAAATGAGTATTACAACCAGACCACTGGAATGTGCCATGAGTGTCCACAATGTGAGCCAGGAGAAGAACCTTATATGGTGAGTTGTTCACATATCTCCCACCTTCTTGAAAAATGCTATGCTAGAGATGCTAATATGAAATGGTAGTATTGAAATGTGTTAAATAAAAAATAAAGTAAAAATTCTAAAGATCAGTACTACATAGAATGAGGATGTCCTTGATGATGGTCCTTAGAATACTATGCACACCCCTAAAAAGTCAAGTTGAAAACAAACTGCTCAGCCTTCCTCCACATCTCCACTTCAGATTCAAGTGTAGCAAGTTTATGTTCTGTGCAGCATTACCTAAGGGGAGAAAGCCATAACTCAGTGACAGAGCACATGCTTTGTGCCCAAGAGGTCCCATGTTCTGCTCCTGGAACCACTGGGTAAAGGGAATAGGGTGCAAGTGGTGGGAGAGACTTTCCTCTCAGTTGCTGTAGAGATGCAGCCATCAGAGCAATCAACAATACAAGGAATACAAGAGGTATGCCTGGCGCCAAGTTTATACTCTTTTTGGCGCCAGGCCAAAACCTTTTTATTTAAACAGTATTTTAAAATTTAACAACTTTTAAGTTCAGTCACTCTGCTTGTTTTGTGATTTATTGTTTTGTTCTGTTCTATTATTTATTGAAAATGTTGTTTTAATTGTTCTTTTAAATATTGTAAGTTGTCCTGAGATCTTGTATAATAGAATGGCATACAAAAGCTTTAAATAAGGAAGGAAGGAAGGAAGGAAGGAAGGAAGGAAGGAAGGAAGGAAGGGAGGGTCTGAGCTGGTGTGAGGTACTTGAATCCAGCACTGAATCATGTTCATGGACCCAACACATTTACTTGTTGCATAGATATCCCACTATTTCCCCTCCTGCAAGGAACCAAAGTGGCTTATATGACCTTCCCCCTTTCCATTTTAACCTCACAACAACTCTGCGAGGTAAATTAGACTGGGAGTATGTGGCTCACCCAGTAAGCTTCAGGCACTAAAACCAGATCTCCCAAGTCTCAGTCAAACACGCTAACCACGAGACTGCTCTGACCCATACATGCACATTCCTCAGCCACTGCTCTACAGTCAAGGGAAAAATAGATGCCACTAAAATGTTGTAAGAACCCAGCCATTATGTTCAATGGGGTTTGAATGCCAAAGTGTTTTTACTTATGTTTTACTCAGACGTGTGGATATGGCACCAGAGATGAAGACTATGGTTGCATCCCTTGTCCATCAGAAAAATTTTCAAAAGGCGGGTATCAGATATGTAGGAGGCACAAGGACTGTGAAGGGTTCTTTCGGGCAACAGTTATGACACCTGGAGATCAAGAAAATGATGCAGAGTGTGGGCCCTGTCTTCCTGGGTAAGGATTTCATTATGACCATTTGCGGCCTAACCTGACCCTCCCTGCAAACCTCCCACAGTTATACTCAGTGAGACACACACTCTTGCACTCTTGTTGCTGGGTGCACGTCTTTCGCATCCGACTAAGTGCACGTTTGTTGCCGTTTGCCATCAAGTTGTCTCCAACTTATAGTGGCCCTATGAATGAAAGCCCTCCAAAATATCCTGTCTGTGACAACCCTGCCCAGCTCTTGGCATTCTCTATCAATAACAGAAACACTGTAAAAAGCCTGTTTTATGCAAAAGAAAGTAGTATCTGCTATTCATGCAAATAACATTTATAGCAAGTATCTGATGCTAAGAACTGGGAGGAAAAAACCTTTTGGTGGGTAGAAGGAAACAAGGGAGACATTGGCTAGTTAAGAAAGCCAATGCAACGTGTGTGCATTAGCCCAAAGATTTGAAAGTGAATTTTGTTAATAAAAATCATCAAAAGGTTAATCTATTTTATCCCTTGGTTCTTTTAAAGCATCACCCTGATTTACTGAAAAACCAACATGATCAGGTTGTGTTTGTTAATCATGTTCTTCAGAGAACTCAATTGTATTACCAGATCTTTATTTATTATAAAGTTAAATGATGCACTTATGCTCTAGACAAGTTGAATTTATTATCATTTCCCCAGTTAAGGCAAGCACATCTATGTTTCAGAGGTAATGGCTTGAATCTAGACTACATTAGTAGCATGTCAGTCTAACTGCAATCATTGTGAAAAATGAAGGTGACTTAAGTCCCATTGGTTTCAGTTGGACCTTAGTGCAACTAACTTGCAGAACAATCCATACTAGGGTGAGATGGGGGTGAGAAGTGAAGTGATGGTTGAACCAGCACTACCAAAGCCCTGCAGAATGAGGTTGGATAGAGTAGGTGGATGCTTGTCTATTATATTGCTTTTCCAGTGGGAGGGGAAATTCATGTGCCCACTTGAGGCTAGACCAAGGGCTTCATGGGTGAATGGAGGAACTTCAGATCCAACGGAGCAAAGGCTATCTCCATTCCACTATGGAACATCCTTTTTTAGAGCCTACTACTGGTATTAGATGTACATTCATGGAGTTTTCCTCCATTATGGTTGAATATATTAAGGTCCATTTTCACCTTCCATGTGGAGTTCAAGACATGACGTCCCTCCTCTGCATGCTCAGTCACCACACATTGTGGAAGTACAAGAAAGGCCATGGTGGCCACAGGGCTAAACTTCAGCACACATTAAAGCAAGAATTTGAGAATTCTAAATATGAGCTTGCACTTTTTTTTAGTAAAAAATTCCTCACAACCACCATTACATTGCACTGATATAAATAACCCTTTGCAAACAAGCACATGTATAGGTGTAGGCTGTAGGGCTTCTAGTCTCTCAAGCTTTCTAGAAGATCCCACCTGCAGTTTATATAAATGCATTCCAATGTGTCAGAATGCCTGTGGGCTATGGCAAAGACCTGTACGTTTCCTTCTGGGTTTTCAATTGAATCTGATGATAATCCTAACCTTCAGTAGTGGGTTTTGCATAAGTGGATTTCCCTAACCATGATCTATGTATCTACAAAGTTTGAACTTGTGCTGAGTATCTGGAAAGCCAGTGAAATCAATGCCACTGGTTGTTATCTGGATGATAAGGCCTAGAGATGGGGAAATCCTTGTGCAGGAAATCTCATTTTAGAAGCATTTGTTCAACTGCAGTGCAGACTCAGTGGACCATATTTGTGTTGTTTTAGGCTATGAACCTTCTCATGACATGTATCTTTAATGCTTGATTTAATGGTGTTTATGAGGCAGTGAAGGTGGAATCACTTCTAGACTTGCAGGAGAAAAATTGGGTAATGCTATTAAAGGAGTTACAAAAGGAATTAAAGTAGTGATTTTATCTCGCATAGTTCTCAACCATACTTAATGGCAATGAACCCAGTCACATTGCTTTTGTCTTGTCTTGTCCTTCCACGGCAGTTACTACATGTTAGAAAACAGGCCACGAAATATCTATGGAATGGTTTGCTATTCGTGTTCACTGGCTCCTCCCAACACAAAAGAATGTAAGTACTCTCAGTCGGATTTCCATTTAATTTATGCAAATTTAGACATTTCAAACACCCTCCAAAGCTTTCATGGGCAGTATTTCAGAATGCAATGATGGTGCTGCACCTGTAACTGCCAGGAAACGTCAGACAGTTGTGCAGGACATATGAAGAGTTTGTTGTCATGTTTTTATTTTCAAAATAACCCAGACTTTATGCTCTTTATCTCTTAAGAGTGCATTTATCTTTTTGCTACTATCAATAACTGCAGTACAGAAGACATCTGGCTCAACCCAAGGTTGTGAACTCACACACAAGTGGATGCACAATACCACGTGTGCACGCTTGGCGCAAGTTTCCAGGAGAACCTTGCATGAGCAGTCGAGTTTCTAAAACTCCTCTTCCTTCCCTCATTCCTAATGTATAAAACTTGCTAAAGTATAAGTACTTCTTCCCACAGCTCATAGTGAAACTATGAAATTCTCTTTTGTAAGATGAAATGATGAATGCCTGTTTGGAGAGCTTTAAAGGGGGATTAGAGAAACTTATAGCTGATGAGACTATCAATAGCTACTAGATAGCTCTGCGTTATGATGGCTCTATACTATGTCAAGTATCAGCCAGTACACCTCTGAATATCAGTTACTAGGGTCTGCTATAGGCATCTAGCTGGTCACTGTGTACAAATAGGTCTTTGATCTGAATCTTAACGCAAGTCATTTATATAGTAAAGGGAATCCTGTTTCTAGATGGCCATTGCATTTTCTGGAAAATATTCATTTTTAAAACAAATAACCCAGCCTTCATCCTTAAGGGATCCCAGAGCAGTGTACATAATATTTTTAAAAGATGAAAACAGTGTCAGAAGAATCATAACACTGCAAGATAAGAGGCATAAAATATAATAAGTCAGCAAACAACTAATGAGTCAGTCAACTAAAAATAATAACATGCCCAGGCAAGCAGACATTTTGATGTGGTGCCAAAAAGAAAGCAAAGTTGGTGCCAATCGTATTTTCCTTGGAAGTATTTTCCAAAATCCTGGCCCTACCACAAAGAAGATCCTCTTTTTTGTCAATGTATCATATATATCTTCCACTGATGGTACTCAGAGAATTACCATCTCAAAAAAAATTAATGCCTCCCTCGAAGATACAAGAGTAGGATGATAAAGTAGGCACTCCATACAGTTAGACCCCAAGTGTTTTGGAGCTTTAAAAGTAATAATTAGCAACTTCAATTTGGTTTAGTAGTGAATAGGGAGACAATGTAATTTTTTAAAAACTGATGTCATTTGTCTCCCACTAAGTGAATCAGACAGCATTCTGACAGCCATATTCTGCACAAGCTTCCAAACTGTTTTCAAGGACAGCACCACAAATAATGTGTAACATTATTACCACATCTTTGCTTACATAAACTTAGATCCAGAGCAGCTTCCTGATCCATTTCCCACATGTTTGTCATTTCAATGTTTCGGCATGAGAAGGCCACTATCTCCTAGTGTAACTGTTAAAATGGACAAAATAGTTAAACACTTTTAAAATAATTTGATTACTTTCAGTATATGATAATAAAGCTGGGAACTTTTAAGGCCAAATTACAACTGCCTGAAGAACAATATATTAAATGGAAAGGCTGACAGCACCTAAATAATAGCACTTTTAGTAGGTTTCTTTAGCACATTCCTATTGTATTATATTTAAATGGCTGAAAATATAGAACTCATCTTTGTAACATCATAATCAATCAGCAGCTTTTAAAGCCCCCAGTATAGGCACTTTCATTTGTGATGGCATGTCCTTGAGTTCTTGTATATAAAATTTGAGTAAAACAATTAATTATCTTTTTTAAATGAAGTAGCACCAAGCTACACACCCCTGGTGTTTCTTTCGCATGCATGCCAAATTTTTGGTGTCTAAGTTTCTCTGTCTTGGTGCTATGGCACTGATGGACAGACAGATATCTTTTTTATTATTAAACATGTAAGCAATGGCTGCCAAGGACCCAAACTGATAAAACAGTCTGGGGACTGGGATAGAAATTATAATTCATAATGCGGATGGCTAGGGAGGGAGGCATGCTGTTGTTTTTTCTTATTATTTCCACCCCTAAGTTATAGAAACAGGATGGATGCATATATGAGATAAAAAGAGAGATTTCCACCCTGCTTCAGCAGGCACTTTTTCAACTCCTCCCCCAATAGTTAAGGGACAGGTGTGGGGGAGAGATTCAACAGGAACTGCCATCATGGAAGTGGTATGGATGCTGTCCAGGTACCTGAAATGTTGTGTGTGAGAGACAGAGCATGTGCGTATGTGAATACATCCATAGGTGATGGATAACTGAACAAAGCAGAGCTGGTTTTGTTAATGTATGCCTGAATTCAGCTGGATGAAGCCAGGCAAGTGTACTGCAGATTGCTTGAAAAAGACAAGCTGCAGCCTGTGCCATAATCTAGTAGCAGACAGTGTAACACATCATTTGCTTGTATTAATTGAAATGCAATGTAATGGAGTGGGTGGGGAGATAGGACTATTACTGTCCTGTTGCAGCATGTAACAACAGTGTGACATTCCAGCTATTTTAACAGCACAATCCTAAGCACGCCTACATAGAAGTAAGTCCCACCGAGTTCAGTGGGGTTAGTCTCAGAACACCTGCATTTTGCCATGTTTACATTATGTTTGACTAGCAACATAAAGAATTTTTAAAACTGGAGGTGGAATATAAACATGTTTAAGTGAATAAATAAAGACCATTAAATAAGAAGAGCTTGCAAGTAGTTGGTCCCATTGCCAAAACAGTCCAGAAGTTTCTCCTAATGTAACTTAAGTTCCCGTAACTGATGCCCATCAGATCTAATCTTGCAATGTGGAACAGAAGCAAACACACCTCTGCCACCTTCTATAGGACAGCACTTTTAAGTACTTGAATCATGCTATCATATTCTTCTCTTCTCTAGGTTAACATAATTACTTCTTTCAACTTCTGCTCACAGGTCTTGCTTTTTTGGTACTGGACATAGTTCTCCAGATGAGATCTGATTAAAGTGGAACTCTTCTCATAAATTTGAAAATAATGGCTCTGTTAATGAAACCAATAATTATACTAGTCTTCCCTGCAGGAACATTACACTGCAGCTATAATCAGCTATCATCATGAGGTCCTTTTGATATGTAACATTGCCAAGCTTGGAGTTGCATATATGATAGCTGTTCATTTCAGTATGTTGTCTAAATGCAGAAAGATTAATGCAAACAAGAATAGGACGCGGCATGCCTGAAGTGAAAAGGATTCTAGGACTGTAATTGAATGCAAGCTTAACATATCAGGTATCCTGTGTGAGTGGGTGGGAAGAACTTCATGACCAGCTAACATCTTGAAATCCTCTCTTGACCATTACAGATTTTTAAAAAGCAAGGAGAAAACATGCAGGAGGTCTTTTTCCAGTGAGAGGCTGAGCCAGTATGTCAGGATTGGGCCTCTGATATCCTTGCACATCATAACTCACCAGCATTAAAAGTCTGGAGCTACCGGTCTTGTATAGATAAGGAGAGAGCTCAAAACACTAAAGCTGGTGTGTGTGTAATGTACAGAGGCATGCATTATTGAAAAGCACTAGCTCAGTAAACCAGTCTATTAAACACTGCATGAAAATCAAAGTAATGGCAGATCTAAATAAGAATGTATACAATAAAGGAACACAGGGAAACCCCTGTATCCGCTGTTTCAGTTACTCTGGTTTCACTTAACGCTGTTTGATCATGATCCAAAAAATGTAATGCGGGGGGGGGGGGGGAGAGTTTTGCAACCCACTGCAGCTTACTGACTACCACTCTACAGATAGCCGCTTGGGGAATGCTCCCCTTCCCAGCTGCTGCTGTGGCCAGCTCAGAATAGCATGTCACCCCCTGGTAAAGGCGGGGTGGACACCAGCCTCAGGGACTGGGCATGCAGTTATGCACAAGGCTCGGTGCAGGATGAGCTCCCTTGGAGTATGGCTGTACTCCAGTATATTGGGTCTTGTTTCAAGCTAAAGATTATCCACATTGCAAAAGAGGTAATTGTAATGCAGCTACCAGTACACATATGGTCAACAGTATTAAGAGTTAAGATTTGGGAGTGGGGCCTAGAGCACCTTACAGCTTTTACACTTTCTCAGAGGCCCTCTGCCCCTAGCTTCCACAAATGTGGAGGACCAACTATATACTGATTGCTACAATCTGCGGTTTCAGGCACCCACTGGGGCTCTTGGAACCTATTCCCTGCAGAAACAGGGGTGCTACTGTGTATGTATTTAGCAAATATATTTAAGCAAGCAACTAGCATGCTCTGGAAGGTACTTTATCCTGCTATAGAAAAAAAAAAAAAAAAAGTCATTCAAAATCACTGAACTGTACGCATACTTTTTTTGGCCAAGTATAAAATGTGCATTTGTCTTTGCCACTGAATACAGTATTTTATATTGTGCAATCATTTTATTAAAACACATTTTATTTAGAGCATGCACATTAATTTATAAGCAGTGAAATCTTTTTCATGCACTATTAGAGAACTTAATTTCCTGTCAAATTTGCCCAGTGGAGCTGGGCCAAGAAAATTCTATACTTCCTGGAACTGTAGAACGCCAGTCAGTCTTTCATTGTAGAACGCCAGTCAGTCTTTCAATTTATTAAATCCCTTGACACATTCTATCTTAAATAGATGCAAGTCCTAAATGCTAATAACAACCACTTGCATGTTATGTACAATAATATACACTATTTTTCTTACCTATACAATAGACCAGCATATCTCCACACTCTTTAAATGGTGCTTGGAAGATAATTGGAAGATAATAAAGAAGGCAGTTTCTCCAAAATATGTAATAATTATCATTTCAAGGTGCTATCCTATGCCCATTTAGATAAAAATGTCCCATAGCTCAGAGCATTCCCCAGCCAACCATACTAGGATTATACACAGGATTGTACCATTAACATTCCCACCCAGAAACCCTTGTTAGCCATTCATATGACTACATATACTTGCTTTTCCTTGTGGCTCTTCTCCACTAAATTGCAAGTATAATTGTAAACCCATGCTGCATAAAAAGATTTCTGAATATCAGAGGCAAGCTATGTAGATTGGAGAATGCAAGATAAAGCTAATCTGCCGCTGTTAGAAGCAGTGTGTTTTGCTGCTGTTACTGAAGTGCATGGACAGATCCACACTTTGCATGTTTACCATGGCTAAGACTAAAATAATGTAACTATCATTGGAAAGAACCATGCCTCTCTAAACACACAGTGGATATTTACCACAGAGATCCAGCTAGTGACTGTGCTTCTGTGCATACATATATGGAAATGCATATTACCCTGCTATAATTATGTGTTTGCTATTTCAAAGAGGGAAATATCAGTGTATCTGCAGTGAACATAATACTTATGTAAGCTTCAAAGCAACTACATTTGCAGATATTCTAGAAAACAGTCTTCCAGTTTATGACCATAATAACTGCACCTCTACTGTAACCATAATAGCAGAAGTAATATTTCACCGGAGAGCTATTTTATTGTTGTTAGTAATCTAGGATGTATACCTTGTTCATACCCTAACCAAAATTCTTCAGCTGGTTTACAGAAAAATCACACAGATAATCTGGATGTTAAGAGGCCTTTCTAAGGTGGGGCTTCCTTACCCAGGCAGCTGTTGCTGTTGCTGATTCTCTCAGCTTCTGGGTATAACCCGGCTGCAGATACAGCATGTACGGCCAGGAGGAAACAAAAGTGCATAGAAGCCTCCCTAGGTCCTTCAGTGTTTTCAGTGCCAACTGCCTCCCTTGCTATTTAGTCTCCAGGTATAAGGGTATATCCACTGTTGGTCCCTTTAGAGAAGACCCATTGAAAGGGATGGAAAGTAATTAACTTATTAATTACATTTCTTTTAACGGGTTTACTGTAAGTAGGACTAACATTGGATACAACCCATGCAATCTGTTTTTAGGTTAATATTTATTCCTGTTGAGGCAAAACCAGGGCCCATATTCATAAGTTATTTTATTCCTCTTTTCCCATAGGAAATAAATTATGACTAGCAGGAGAGAGGGGAAAACACATATTAAAAGTGCTCTTCTTCTAAAATCATTATTTACATCCCAGAGATACAAGGAATGCATATTGGCCATTTGAATAACTGCTTCATTAAAGAAATGCAATAGAAGTATTATTTGGAAGCAGAAAGGCATGATTTCTGATATGAGGCCTAATACGTTTGTGAGTTCCTCCTTGTTTGTAATCGCAATTAAGAGCTCATGTGGCTGGAGTGGATGTGATATGGCTAGAGGGAATGACTTAGACCAGGAAAGCAATGTTGAGATTCCTGTCCAGCCATGAACTTTGATGACCTTAGCTTGTGTAGGTAAAGTAAGAAGGGTATTTTTGAGGAAATGAAGGATAAAAATATTGGGTTCTATCCAGACTTAGTCATAATTAAGTTGACATAAGTGGAACTTAAGTTAGTCATGATTCCCATGGACATGCTTCTTCAAAATATGCTTAGGGTTGCACTTACATATCCTCCTCATCTTCTTCTGGTGCTCAAGTCAAGCTAGCAAAGCTCTAGGTGTGCCAAATGCGTATTTCACAGCTTTGCATTATAAATCTACAAACAGATGGTTGAGTTGACTTTTTAATTGTAAGGGTAGCTTTTAGTTGGATGGGAAATTCAAAAAGCCTTAAGTAACTGCTCTGCCAGCTCGCCGAATGTGTTTAATTCATGGCTGGGATTTTAAAAGGTAACCAGGAAGATTTATGGCAAATTTTTTATTATTACAGGTGCAGGAGTTACCTCTGGTGTGTCAGCTAGTTTTCCAAGTACATCTGGAACAAGTACTAATTCTCCTTTCCCACCTGTGCACAAAGGTAAGAAAAGCAATGTAGTATCTTATTTTTCCTGTGAATAAATAGCACTATTAGCCTTTAGAATACAGGCAGAGGGAGGACTGGAGGTCTGAATAATCAGGACGAAAAAGGATGAGGCTTTCCTGTAGAGAATTTCAGAGCCAGAGGTTTAAGCCCTTAGTCAGTAAATGCTATTTTCTCTATCTATAGATTCAAGACCATCTGGCTTAAAAATATGCACTTTAATTGCATTTCACTATTTTCTCATTTATGAAGAATTGTCAGAATGATTCCTTCAGCAATCAGTGTACTTCAGAGTGATGAATTTGATGATGAACTTTGCATTTATTCAGAGGAAAACTTAATGTAATTCCTTTATCTCATCAGGCAAGGTTTACTTGGACTGTGTGGATGTCATGCCTGTGCCACCTAAGCAATCTTTTTGGTGCTAAAACAGTAAGACCTGTAATTGTATGGCACAAATGCATGACAATTAGACTACAGTCAGCACTGCAGGTGCAGAAATGTAGCCTACTGACCCTGATCCAAACTTAAGCAGGCATTACAATGTGCTTAACAAATTCTCAGTAAGCATTTGTTTTCACTTGGAGTTGGGGCGGCTTTCTACTTACATTGAGACCACCTGACTAGGCCATCTCAAACACAATAGTTAAGCAGTGCTTCTAGCGCTAATTATGCTTGAATTTGGAACACACACAGTCAATAAATCCAGCTCTACACATGAAGATTTGTGGTCTTAATAAATATTGTCAACTGCAAATCCCTTGGCAATAGTAAGCCATATCTAGAACTGTATGTCAGGAGTATATTTCAAACTAGCACAAATCTAGCACAGAAAAAAGCCACCCACACAATGGCACTGTACAAAGCAGCGATCAAGTGCATTGGAGCCTTGCTAATGCTGAATATGTAGAGCTTGTTGAGTCATAAATGAGTTAGCACAAAGTAATAAGGGAATGTTATGGCAAATCCATTTATACTGGAGGTGCAAATCTCACCTTTATTGGAGAATTGTAAGTGGAGTAGATGCTGGAGGCAGAGTTAAGTGCAATTCCCATATAGTTTCATTTTTACAAGACTGTACCACTATGGCAAGACTCCCCCTTGTATGTATGAATAGTGAATTGCCCGTTTTAAAATGTTCCCATTCGGCAGTCAATGTAATGCTCCATCACACTTATTAATGACTGAGAATATAGTGGTCCAATGTTGCCTTCTCAGGAATGGTTTCCTGAATGGGCAATTGACATGCCGGTGTTGCCCTCCTTGAGGTACACAAACTATTCTCATTGGGAAGCTCATTAGCACTAATGGGTAATTTATACTGGCTCTGAATTACGAAGACCACTATACCATTCTGTGGAAAGCTAAACAGCAGTGCACCTAGTTTCTTGTCCAAGTTCAGTCATAGGCTGGATGAAGGACAGTAAACTAAAGTTGAAACCTGGCAAGATGAAAGACCTGTGGACAAGGGTTCCTGAGTCCGTGGGATGGACTGGTTCCCTGTCCTGGATGGACTCCCTTTGAAAGATCCGGTCCACAGTATGGTGGTTCTCTTAGATCCATCGTTGCAGGTGGGAGATCAAGGCATTCCACAGTACCTACAGTGCCCTTTGTCAATTCGGCTGGTTTGCCAGCTCCAGTCTCTCTGCGTAACAGTGGTACATGAACTAGTGACTGAATTGCTACAACAAAAAAATAAATGCCCTATGTGTCATGCTGCTCCTGGGGCCGGTCTGGAAGCTAGAGTTGGTGGAAAATGCAGCAGTTCTTGCTATTGACAGGAGCTGCCCCTTCTGAGCATGTGGCTTCTGTGCTGAGAGAAGTGCACTGTCCACTACTGACTACAGAGCGAGAATTAAGGTTTTGGTGCTAGTATATAGGGATGTGTGAGAAATCTAATGGAGGCATGGAAATCAAATGGATTGTTCCATCTTGTCCCTGTAGTTTCCATTGCACCCAGCCTGTCCTGGTGCCAACTTGTTCTGATGAAAGTTGAGCCAGAACATGGACTTCTGTTTTTAACAGATTGGGCGCCACTGCAGAGAAGGCCCTCCTCCGGGTACTCACCCTCCTAATATCCTTCACGGAGGGTTCCCGGAGAAGGGCCTCTCCTGCAGATCTCAGGGGGCGGGCGTATATGGACGTAAGCGCTCCTTCAGGTAGCCAGGACCCAAGCCGTTTAGGGCTTTATAGGTCATAACCAACACCTTGAATTGGGCCTGGACTTCAGAGGGGAGCCAGTGAAGCTGATGGAGAACTGGAGTCATGTGAACATAACACCCAGTCCCCGTCAGTAGCCTGGCAGCTCTATTTTGAAACAATTATCCAGACCGTCTTCAAGGGCAGCCCCACGTAGAGCGCATTACAGAAGTTGGGAAGTCACCAACGTGTGTGTCACTGTCACCAGGCAGTCGTTCTTCAGGTAGGGACACAGCTGATGGATCAGCCAAAGCTGAAAGAAAGCGCTCCTCGCCACCGCTGTCACCTGAGCTTCCAGTGAAAGCTCTGGGTCGAGGAGCACTCCCAAGCTGCAGACCTTGTCCCTAAGAGGGAGTGCAACCCCATTCAGGACTAAGTTCAGGTCCCCTTCCCCGAAGCCCGATCCGCCAACCAACAGGACCTCCGTCTTGTCTGGATTGAGCTTCAGTTT